TCAAACTCCGCGACTGCTGACAGCAGTGAGGAGGGGTAGACGGATGCAGTAGAGAGAGGGCGGGCAAGATAACCAAGAAGCCAACTTGCTCCGCTTGTCCCTGCAATGGTGACAAAGGACCATGGGCATGCCTCGTCGCTCCAGTCTGTAAAACCGCCAGCGGTTCCGTCCGTGTAGATGTTGATGTTGTCCGGTGTAACCCCAGGGTCGGGGCGCAAGATAACGTACCCAATCCCAAGAGTAGTAGAGTGCTAAAACGTTGCATGCGTAAGTATGTCGGCACCCAGAGGTTGGCTCCATCTCCTTAGAAATAGCTCCTTCGTGCCTCCCAGCACTTGGAGAGGGCTGATGTTGAGACCTTGGTGTGAGATACTCTGTTCAGCAGAAGGAGAGGAAGACGGAGTAGGACAATCCTCTGGGCCGTCTACTGTTTGCAGCGGCGCGTGCATTTCCCCTGCAGGCAGTCCTATTTGTCACAGGTCAGCTTCGTCCTGTGCGGAAGCAGGGACAGGCGGACTCATTGAAGGCTCACCTGCAGCTCCTAGTTGCTGCGATGTCTCTCCTGCCTCTCCAGCCATCTGTGCGTGCGTGTCTTTGTCCAAGTCCTTCTCTGAGAAGATCTTCACTGACTCAGCTGGAGCGTTCTGCTTCCGAAGGCGACTTTCAGGATGCCTGTATTCGAAGCTCTGTGCGGCGTATGTGCACGTCCTCCTGACCGCCCTGCAATGGGCTTGGATCTGCGCTGCTGCTTCTGAGCCTGTGACTGCTTCAGTGCGGGCTGGAGTGAGGCTGCCTCCTGCTCTGCTGCTGCTGCTGCTGCCCTGGCCGCTGCCTCCGTCGAACTGTTCCCTTCCGCCGCGCCTGGCGGCGTGGCTGGAGGCTGCGGCGCGCCTGTCGATGTCGCCGCCGATGGCGCTGGGCTGGCGCGACTGGCGCTGCCGCTGCTTGGCCACTTGGCCCCCCGCCTGGGTAGGCTGCGCCGCGAGCATCTGGGCGCCGAGGGCGTTGTGGATGACCGCCATCTGGGCCGTGAGCCTCTGCAGCTACTCCGTTAGGTCGGAGTTGTTGGCCTGCGGTGTTGCAAGCTGCGCTGTTGCCGTAGTAGATGGGGCCGCGGTGGTTGCAGTGTCTGAGTTGGTATCCTGCCTCTCTACCTCCACGGCTGCCTCCTTTTCCTCGACCTCCTGCTTCTCTAGGCCGACGAAATGTTCGAGCAATTTCTCAGTCTTCTGGAAGTCCTCCACGGGGCACTTCGCGCGCACTGTGGCGGCGCGCAGCTTGTCCGTGAGATCCTTTTCAGCACGCTGTGCATCAGAGAGTGGTTCCTTGATGCGGTCGAGGTAGGTATTCTGTTGGTCCGCTCGTGACTTGGCGTCTCGAGCAAACATGACTTGATAGAGACTCACCGAGTAGTCCTCCTCGAGTGATCGAATGACTGAAACCTTCTGGCCCATCTCGTATGCTGTTGCGGTCTGCTTTTCAAGTTCGTCGAGCGAGTCCTTAAGCTGCGAGCGGTGTGCCTTGAGTTCCTTGGCCGATGCTGGAGGATGGAGCCACAGCTTATGACCTTCAGCGCGTTCTGGATCGACAGGACGTGGGAGTGGCGGTGGCGGTGGCTGCGGAATTGCGTCTCTCGGTGTCGGTGCTGCGCTCTGTGCACGATGCTGCTGCGCAGGCTGCTGGTCCCATGACCATGACTGTCTCGACCACGATCGCCATGGAGCGGCGGCGTCGAGCTGTATGCCATCCGCCATCGATCTCGTCGTCATCTGTGTCGAGGCTGTCGTCCTGCTGTGAAGCCGATGCTTGCGAGCAGAATCTGCACACCGACGAGCTGTAGATGTTCTGGCGTTGGCACTTGCTGCATTCCCAGAACTTTGGCGGTGGCTGTCCTCCCCTGCGGGCACCTGGGTCCGCTCCTGGTCGATCTGCTGAGTGCGCCATGCTGCTGTGATGACGTGCGAGCAGCTCGGATGCAGCCGCGACCCGAAGAAGCGTTCTTGCCCTGCTGCGGGCGTCTCGCTGTCTGCGGTGCCAAGCTGACTCTATCTGGTCGGCCTCTCCTGGGAGCCGGGATGCGAGTCACGGTCGGCCCGTTGCCCGAGACTGGGTGGAGGGGCGCTTTCAAAACGGGTCGGCGCGTGTGGCAGTTGTCCCTGCTCGAGCTCGCCACTACCAGGCAGCGGCGCCCGAAGCCTGAGCCGGGACAGCGGTTCTGGAAGCGAGGGCGGGGGAGGGGGAGCGGAGGAGCACAGCGGCCGCGGGGGCGCGCGTTCCCTGTCCCCTCCCCTCCTCTCGGCCTCGCCGCCCGGGGGCAAGGATCCCACCCGGGTGCCTGGCTAGCCCTGGCTGCTGACAGCGACGTCCTGCAGAATCGGTCGGTCAACGCATCCTTGCTAGGCTGGTGGAGCTCTAAGCATAGGCGGAAGGTACCGTCCACGTTGGCGGGTGAGACCCAGGCGTTGAGTGCTGTTGTGGCAGAGGTGGAGTGCCTACAGAT